TGGAAAATGAAGAACTGAAAGATGGAAACTCTGTTTTCCCTCATAATGCTTTTGCATCTACTGTTGGAAAAATTTAGTACAGCTTTCAAGCTCCTACATATTAGAAAATTCCCGTGTGTGAAATTTCATGTACAAATTTGATGCCACATTATTCCCCTGCTCCCTCTAATGCAGGTTTTGCAGTAGAAAAGCAGGTACAAATGGTGACATAGAGCTGAGAACAAGTGGAGCATCTTCACCTTTCCTCTCCTTGTAGGAGGGGCAAAGTGACAGCCACAGAGTTGTTCAGGAGCTGTTCCCAATGGGGTGCGAAGAAGCTTCCCCTTTGTATGAAACAGGATGTAGCTGTGCTTAGTCACTTTCTGGGCCACCTGGTGCTGCCCAGGATTTGGATACATTTACTGTTTTCAGCAGTTATCACAGGGACGTGTGTGGCAGCAGTGAAGGAAATGTCCTCTAACCCCTTCTGAAGACTGGGAGGAGAGACTGCCCTTAGCCTTTACCACATGTGTAAACAACATCTTGTGTCAATAACTTTCACAGCCCCCAGGAGAGACATGAGAATGCTTCAGTGGCCATAAACTGCCTGAAACGTTGAATGTCTAGACTTGACTGTTGAGGAAGTGTCTTTAGGCCTTCCTTTTATTCCCTCTTATGTGCCCCCAGTTGGTATCCTTCAAAGGATATTAAACTAAATACAGCAAATATCTAATGATTTCATATGGTCATTTTGCTGACACCATCCTAGGCACTTCAGATATGTATCTGTACACATTGCCTCGTGTAATCCTTCTGGAGTTACATTACTGTTCTTTCTTACTGTCTTTAGAGACATTAAACTTGGACAGATGCCCCACACCTGTATATTAAAAGCAATGCAGAATGATATAAATGGGTCACAGCATGGTCCCTAACTCAAAGAATGAATCATTCTGTTACAGGATAGAGATGCCATCAGGTTAAAAATAGGAAGGAAAGTGCAAAAAAAGCTGTTTGTTTACCACACAAGCAAAAGGCAATAAGCCGACAGTAATAGCTGTAAACAGCAGGAGTACTTGCCTGTCCACTTGATTATTAGCTTTGTAGTCTTTAATGGTATACAGGGCTTTGAAAGGATGATGTGTAAGCTCCTGTTACTGGTGTTCAGCGCTGTTTCATGAGGACAAGCAAAAGGAGAAGACATAAAGGTAATTTTGCTTTGCTGGTTAAGAATCCAAATAATCTGCAAGGTGTCACCTCTGAGATTATCATTTGTGTTCTGCCAAGAAGGAGTGAGTTAGCACAGTGTACATTTTCACTATTGCACATTTACAACTGTAAGAAACATGCAAAGTATGAATTTGGTGGAAATGACTCCTGCCTCTTAACAGTGTAAGAGGGTTGGTTTCCAGTAGTCACTGAGTGAAGAGATCAGCTGGCACAGCCAACACCTTTGTGTGACCTACTGACTAGCTGAAATTGTTTACTCTGATTTTCTAGCCAGAGGGAATTATGAGAGGAAAAAAAGCCAGTGGTGTATAAAAGCATCTGCACAAGTGGATGGGTGTAGCTAAGCTGGTAGGGAATGTGGCCACCTGTGGAGCATTCCTTCAGAAGCAGACAAGAATCCGTGCTGAGTGGCAGGGTTTGCAGCTGTGTGTCCAGGTGAAGGCATTTCTGTGCTTTGGGGCAGTGCACTTTGGCCTGTGATTCCTTATGGTCTGCTAATGATATGCTACTCTTAGGGGTGTAAACAGGTGAAATTTATCTTTCTGAATCTAGCCTGTTTCTCCCTCTACTTTGTATGTGTGGCATCTTAAAATATATCACAGTTGTTCCTAATATTGAATTAACTCCTGTCTGGGGGGGAAAAGCTTCATATCCTTTTGCTCCTTTGCTTTGTCTGTGTGTTGGCTTGCTGAATTGTTTTTCATCTCCAAGTCTATCATTGCTGGTAATACAAAACTCTCCGACAAATCCCCCTAGGCAGTGCTGTCATAAGACATTTTTGCATTTTTAAGACCCTCCCTGCTAACTACAGAGTGGATGAATGTATCCAGAAATTTTAATTTGATGATAAATTCTTGTGGCTGCTCATGCAACTTTGTTAGTACGTACAAACAGATTTTCTCATTTGGGGCACCATGAATGGTGTGTGACATTTCAGGGCTCTCAGGATTTCCTTGTCTTTCTAGCTTCTTTAGGGTGACACGTATTTCTGCATTTGTCTGATCTTTATTTTTCTTTCCTGTCTCAGTTAAGCATCTCAGAAAGACTCAATAGGAACTCTTTGTACAGTCGGTTGTGTTTGTTGTCCTTGGCTTCTTGGAGTCCTTCATACCTATTTCTAGTTATGTTTCAGTCTGATTTTACTGTTAAAAGGGCATTGGAAGAAGATTCTTTCAAGTTCTGAGAACAGCTTGCCGTTCCACAATGGCTCATTGTTCTTTCCCAATAATAATAGGGTATATTTTGCATTTATGGGGTTTCAGAAGTTTGTGAAGAAACTTTTTGGGCCCTTTGTTTTGCTACAAGAATCTTTGAGCTCATCAAGAAATGTAATGCAATTTCATGCCTGCAGTACCCACCCCATATAAGCTTTCAGTTATAATAGGCTTAAATCAAAATACTAGCTTACTCACATGTTCAGTCTTAGTTACTTTCACATCTGCCAGTTATTATGTAGAAAACATTTTTGCTCAGGCTCCCTAGTAAGTATTTGAATGTGCAGTCCCCTCCCCTCATTGGTGTTGGTAACCAGAAAGATTTGCAGACTTGTCTTGAGTTCTGAACTCAAAATAACCACAAGTACTCATAGTCCAGTGCAATATTGGGAAAATCTTCTAGCACGAGAGTTGACATTTGCTCCATGACAAAGATTCAGTGGAAAAAGTCTAGTTGTGAAAATTCTTCTTTCCTTTTTTCCTCTCCCTTGATCTGATGACAATAGTTTGCATGTAAGAAGTCTGACTTGGAGAGGACTGTTTTGTTCTGTAAATGTTTTTTCCTGGGAAGAGCATACAGTCAAATAGAGACCAGAAATCATCACTATCCATCAGTTATGGAGAAATTGTATTATGTTTTCTGCCCACTTTTTAATAGAAAAATGTGTATGTCTCACACTATCTGCTGTCATGCTCAGCAAGTGCAACTAAGTAGTAATGGATGGGACATCTAAGCCACATGTTCAGTTTCTTTGTCTTCAGCCTTGAGTTCAAGCTCAGTGGTGCTTCTTCTGTGAAAGAAAAAAAGATAAATGCTGCTTCTTTCAGAAGCTTTGGTTCAGTCATACTGTATTTTTTTTCCTTTAATGAGGGGGTGTATATTCTACTTATGCAATAATATTAGCTTATCAACTTACCTCAAATGGAAGGATAAGGCTTTACATATCCTTTTCTTAAATTATGTACCTAGACCCATATTAATATTTTTTCCATGCTTCTCTATTTCCTGTAGTTAGCAGCTTTATTTTCTTGGTGTTTGTACTAGCGTGTAACATAATCAAGCCTGTTAGTCTTCCACTTGTAACATTGTAGTCCTAAAACAATTGCAGTTCATTTTACTGTAGAAAACACAATTATATTGGCTGTTGTGCTATTTTACCAATACACGTTCTTCACTAGTTGCTGTATTTTCATCAAGGTTCATGGCTATAAATAATTATTTTGCCTTTCCCTTTTTTTTTCCTTTTTTACTAATTCAAGTTTTTTGTTGTTGCAACTGCCTAACAGTAGCAGACTTCATTACAGAAGTTCTGCTTCTAAAGGATAACCAGCTCTTTCAGTCACTTGTTTGAGACCTGATTTTAAATTAAATTATGCTGACCAAACCCTTATCTCACTGGTATAAAAATGGACTGCTGTCTTTGATGCAAGTTTCCAAAGCAGTTTGAGACCTCGCCAGATGTAAAGAGTGCAATCAGCAAAGAAGGATTATACTGTCAAGAGTGTCAGCTGAAAAGATGGTCCTCCAGAAAAAGTTTATATGGTTCTGTTTGATCTGAGGATGCTATAACAGATAATGTAGTCTTTGATTCCTCAACTCATTGATCAGTATTTAAGCATGTATTCATGCACATGCTATAAATGCATCAGTCATTTGCAATCTGAAGCAAAATATGCAAACAGAAAGATTTGTGACGCTTCAAAGTCTTTGAGCACTCAATTTGGGAGGGCAAGGCAGAAGCGTTATTTCTTCTGAGTCCTTTCTTTTGATTGAAATGATAAAATGCATATACTGTTTCTTCTTTTATTCATATTTCTTTCCTGCACTTACAGCTTGTCCTTTTCAAAGCTACCATATAGTTGATTTTTTTTCCTTACCATCGCTCTTCTCTTAAGAGGGATGCAGAAGTGACTCACTTTCTGCCTAATGCTGTCTCTAGTTGGTGACTCATCTGCTCATCCCACCATTAGTGGTCTTTTATGCACTGAAGTTGATCAGTACGTGTTCCACATAGCTCCCTATTTAGACACAGACAGGTACAGGGCTGTTCTTGAGGCACAAATGTGCCTGGCCTGTTTGGCAACAGCTTTCTGATGTTTTCTCCAATCAATTGTTACAAAGGAAAAGGAATCACCCACTGACAGATCCTAAAGGAAAAGGAGTGCATCTTCCCAGCCAGAATATTCAAAAGCTTCTGGAAGCCTTTTACTCCTCAACAGGGACAGTGCCTCTGTCATTCAAGTCTTTGACACACAAAGTTTCTAAACATGAGAAAAGGGCAATTTCTATCAGTATGTTAAACCTGAAAAAGCCTTTGTACATCAGGCCTGTCATCAATGTGTTACCTCCAATCTGAATTTTAGCACATCCTTTTCAGCTCTCCTATTCAGAGCCTTTGTCATCAAGGCTAAACATGACATTGAGCATTGAATCAGCATTTAGAAATACCCATCCTCATCTGGCTCACAGCATCTCTTCTGATCTGCTCTGCTAGTTCATACAGTACCTGGATAAACAAATGTTGGTTTTAACATTATATTTAACAGTAACTGGAGGTGTTGCTTGTTTCTGTTTAGATGAGAGTCCTTACACAAAATCTGCAAACCAGGCAAAGGCACCTGATGGAGCACTGTCTGTGAGGAGACAGAGTATTCCAGGTAAGATTTGCTTCGCTTTTTGTAACACCTAACTTGGTTTTGATCAGCAAGGTAATACTAATCAAAATTCAGCTAGTTATGAAAAGCAAATGTATTGCAGTTGCTATTGAGCAACTTTAAAAGGCAAGAGAGCCGTAAGAAGTTTCCACAGTTAGGTTGCCTCAAGCTTTTGCTGTGAAGAACATCCTCGTATCTCTGTCTTTCACAGCAGATTTGAGACACTGAGCACAACCACCTTTTCATCAGAGGCTCATATATTTTCAGGGCCTCTGACATCTGTTCTTTGCTATCTGGTTTCAATAATAGAGGGAGATTGACTCATAATTTCCACTACTCATCAGCCAGGCTCAGAAGTCTAACAGAGAAACACTCTGCCAGAGTTCTTGTCTTCATGTGATTTTCTGCCATGTGCAGAATCACTTGTCCATCCTTGTCTTTTGTGTCATTGCATCACACCAAGCTGGACCATTAGATCAGTGGTTAGTTAAAATAAGTGATCTTTCAACCTGTGTCTCTTTTAATTCCTTCAGATAAGTCTGATGTACGTCCAAGTTTGACATACATATTATGCAGCAATCTAAAGGGATTTTCCCCTCAAGTAATATTTTAGAGACCTTTTAATGAAAACAAATGAACGCTGACCAAGGGTGCACTCAGGTGGAATTATTGATGTTGCCGTTCTCACCTCAAGCACAGTAACCTCTGACTCGAAGGGAAGATGCATTGCAATAGAAATCAGAGCTGTGAGGTCCTGTCACCCACCCTCTAATGGTTAATATTGCCTGTGCTAAGTGGCTTTATTATTGAACAAAGACACACAACCCACAGAGAGTCTGTGGATGGGGGATGGAGCTCAGATTTCATCCCAACAGCTATAGGGAACAGCTAAAGCACATTTTGTGGATGGTTTTTGTGCATGTTTCTATGTGTGAGAGAGAGCACGCTGCCTTATTTAGTATTGCTTATAATGAACATTCGTATTCATTCTTGAAAACACCATAGTGATTTAAAAATTGTTATTTTTATGGTAGAATCATGAAGATAACCATTGTGAAAAGATACAAGTACAGCATCCAGTGTGCAGTTATTCTTCGAAGAAAATATTTAATTATACAAACATCAACCAGGTCTTTTTTTACCCAAGTCAATAGAAATCAATATTCATTGTTCTTCAGAGTGAATGATGACCTCTATAGGGTACTTTTCAGGTAATGCTGTAGCTCATAGGTCAGTAATATTTATGGCCTTGAAAATATTCAACCTTTTGGGGGTTTTTGCTGTGATCTTAGTAGTTATAATTTATAGTGTCATTAGTAGTTATCATTTATAGTGTCATTACTGTATTTATAAAACACTTAAGTTAAGGTCTGGGAACAGGCTGAAGTTGTGAGAATTTTGAGAACTCCTGATGATTTTCACTTGTGTTCTTTAAAAAGAAAGTTTGATGAAAATGTACTGGTGCGATTTTTCTTCAGAGCATCTGATAAGATTAGGAATTTCAGGTGTTGAGTAATAGTCATCATGACTAATGACCATTTATTTTGATTTTTTTACAGTTTTGATGCACATTCTGGAGTTTTTGAGAGCATTGCAGATAAATTTTTACTTTGTGCTCTGCATAAGTCACAGTTTATTCAGAGAGATAATACAAGTGTTCAGTGAGAAGTGCTTTGCTGTATTTCAGGTGTCCTGAAAACAGCTGATCTACGCTTGTGTATATTCTTCAGCTTTTAATATACTGATGACATTATCTGAATTACTTATTCCATCTCTAGACCTTAGGAGCCCCAAAAGATGAACTAGATTGAGCTGGTTGGATATTTTTAAAAATTGTAATTAAAATTCTTCATGGCTTAGCAAATTCTCTTGTAACACAATGAATGTTGTGGGTTTACATACACAAAAGGTGTCGCAAAACTAAGCATTACTTTGAGAATTAACTTGAACATTTAGGAGTTGACTGAAGTTTCTGAAAATAACCTATAAACATTTATATCACTTGACACCATGTTTTGTGTGTGAGATAGCACCTTGTAAATAGCTTCTATTCTCACTTGTGTGTGAGCCTTTTATTCACATTATGGATTAGTCTTGGCAGAGGTGCAGAAGCACCCCAGCTAGCCAGCTTCATTTGGCAATAGGAAGTTCACTGTTAACTAGTAGCATTAATTAATACAAGACCAGAAGCAGAACAGCTGCTCTTGCTCGGGAGCAGGATCGCCTTTCTGATGTTATGTGGGTCAGCTCCAAATAGCTTTTGAATTGGAAGGTGTGGTGCAGTGAACCCAGTAAATTCTGCTGGACCTGGATGGGAACATGTCAGCTGGAGTTACTGTCAGTAATCCTCACATGGAGATCTTTTTCTGTATGGAAAGCATTCATTTCTATTCCCCCAGATGGTATGCCTGATAACACATCACATTTCTGAACTGCTAGGTTTTCAAGCTTGAAGCAAGGGAGTACCTTTGACAGTACAGCTGTCTATTCCACTTGATGCTCTGTCATTCCTAAGACATGGACAGCAGATGTTCTGTTCCCAAGGAATGCTCTGCCTATTGAATTAGCCAAGGGAAAACTTGGGGGTTTTAGCAAGGTAATTGATTGCATGCAGAGTTTTGCACAGGTTTGAACAGTCTGTGAAAAAAAATACTAGTGAAGATACACAGGATGTGAGATGTAAATCTTCCAGCTTGGTAATGAGATCATGGCATCTCCCTGTGTCTGGTGAAAGTTCCTTCTCATGACATTTGAATTCACTTTAAAGGATTTCACTGCTCCATCCTTTTGGCAACTATCAAAAAAGCAAGCTTTTGTTGCTGCGAGGCCTGACGCTACTGTACCAGCTGCAAAGCTCTAGAGGTGGGTTTTATCCTTCCATGTGAAACTGTATTGAAAGAGCAGTATTGATGAGCACTGACTGAGTGCACAGAGAAGTAATGTAATTCTGTAGAGGTTACATGGAGCTCAGGCTTGGTTTATTTTACAGGGAAAAATGTTGAAATAATAATTTTATAATTAAAGTCAAATGAGCACATACTGTGAGATCAGTGCACTGAGTTTAATTTCTTTCATCCCCAGAAGGAAGGAATGGATTAAGCATCTCCCTGGAGCAGAACCTGCTTATTTGAGATGCAGAATGCATAATTCATGTGATGAGACTACATGTCATATTTACCATGTCTTCACATGGTGCAAAATCAACAAGCAACAGATCCTTTCAAAGGGATTTACAGAATAGCTGAAATAATAGTTAATTCAAATTATATGCATTAATATAATGCAGTTTGAAACATGGACTTTATTTTACATATGTGTAGGTGTTTAGTTACAGTTATATATACATGATTATTTGAAACGTTACTTAGCCTCACAGTCAGAATTTCTTAACTTAAAAGTAAGGCTGAGGTAATCCTAGCATGAGAAGCAGCTTGCAGTCAGAAACAAACAGATTTTCCCCTCTAAATATTTAAATTTAGACTGTCAAGCAGAACATAATGAACCCTTATTGCTACTGTGTCCTTACAGAAGCCAAGGGAGTGAGTGTATTGTGCCCCCCTGAAGAAACTGTCAGCAGCAGTGTTAAGGCACATCAATGAAACACTGTGTTTCAGAAGCCATGGGTTAGACCCTTCCCTCACAATCACAGATGCAGTTAAAAACAACAGTAATTTCAAATGAAGGTATTTGATAGCCAGCCTCCTGAGTCCCTAGGTTTAGATGGACAGAGTTCCCTTGAGTTCTGGGCTGAGGTTTCCTGGTTTGCCGAGGGTGTGCCCAGGCAGTGCCCGGCCAAGGGCAAGTGTTGGGTCAGGAGCAGGTGAGCCAAAGGTGCCATTCCTGGGACTGCTTATTCCTGCAGGAACTTTAAAAAGGACATCAGCTATTCCTGTGGCACTGATACAACGTCAAGAGCTGATGGCACATTTAAAGAGGCACTTTGAAGTCAAGGAGACCTTAACATTTACTCCAAGATAAGCATGTTCCTGTGCTGTCCTGAATATGGACAGGCTGAATAACTGTTCCCATGATTTCCAAACTAAAATTCAATGTCCTCTTATCTGTTTTAACAACGTGGGTAAATCAGTCAACAGTAATGATGTGCAAACGGTTCACTTTACACATCTATTTCTTTGTTTTCAGTTCACTTACTGAAAACTGGGGGCATGGAGGGGAACGAAGCAACCTGACACAAGGATAAAAATTATTGTTTTGTGAAGTGAGAATAAGACACCATACATTTAAGACTGATTAAAATATTTCGTAGAATCTGCAACAAAAGTTTAATTTTGCTTTTAGTCCATATTTTTTATTGATTCTTAAAACTTACCATTACTAAAAAAATAGTTAAAAATACCACATTATTTTGAGGTGAAATGTGTCAGCTTCTCAGTGTTTAATTTTTGGGAAAAGTGAATTTCTGCTCAATCTAGTTGGTGTTAAATTAAAAAAAAATCCATACTTATTCCTTCTTCTGTCTACTAACCTAGACATGTGCACTTTCTCAGACTTCTGACTGTAAAGTCTTGTTGCCTGAAGTAGTCAAGGGCTCAGAAGAACTATAGTGTGAACTAAACACTGGGAGAGCTGTTTGAATCATCTGTGAACTCAGAGATTTTGTTTGGCTTGGGACGATTGCAGTTGTGAGCTGTCTCTTTCCTAAGTAAATTCTTGTTCAAGGAACAGGCACCAAATAACAAAGAGTAGAGAAAAAATTTCCTCAAAGAGAGGAGTTTTCCACTTGTCTGGGACAGAAGAATAGCGCAGCTGCCTGCCTTCTGTCCTGCTCCACACACCCAGCAGAAGGCCCTTGCAGTCTTGTCCTCACCATGTTGTCCAAGCCATTGTTGTTTCACCTCCCAGGCAACCCTTGTGCTCCAGCTCTGCCTGCCTCTGGGACCCACAGGAGCCTTCCCAGGTCTCATTCCAGCCACCTCCTACTCCACAGTGACAGCAGGCCAATTTTCTGCATTTATGGTGTGAGTGCGTGCTAAGCCTTGCAG